GAAAAAGCCGATGAAGTAGCAAGGCAAGGATCACTGGAACTCTCGTCTTGGCCCAGAACCAGTACTGGGAATACGTAAATGTATAGACCATATTGCAGTAAAACTCTGGATTAGAGAAAAGCAAAACTTCCAGACAATTTTCCAATGGACAAACAGACAGGGGCGCAGGCCTGCAGCAAGGCCTTAATTCAAGGACCTATTTCTAAAACTATAAAGGAACTGCTAATACTTATCAGGAATACAGTGTGGAGAATTACAGGTCTCTTTACAGGACACAAGGCTGTCAAGTACTACCTGAGCAAGATCAAACTGTGTCAAGGAAACCTTTGCTACAGACTCTTTGAGATAAATATCCTGAAACAGTGGGGCATATAATAGGTCAATGCGAGACTCTGAACCGCAAGCGACATTTTTTATTTAAGAAACCGGAGGAACTATGCTTCCATCCTATCAAGAACCTGGACAAATTGGTGTAGAGTACAGGGATATAGAGAACATATACACACAGCCTTACAGGTCGCAGTGTTTCCAGCAGAGGACAGCCCCTTATTTTTGAAAATAATCGCAGCCATAAGTCATGCTTGCCTATTTCACCGCCCTTTGGCCCTCGGGTACCGATATACCCATAAAAATGTAACTTTGCCACGTTTGCCCAATATATTTAGAACACGCATATAGTCTAGAATTTACCTCTATGGAATTAAGTGCGTCGATTTGAAATCAAACGTGCGTGTTACTAGAGCTTGGCTATCTGTGAAGATAGCAACTCAACGGTAACCCTTCGACAAATATAAACAGAGAGAGATGAGTTGAGTTAATACTGTTACCAATTGGGCATTACTGAAACTAATCAATAATGCAAAGAAATGTAACAAAAAGTCTTAGAAAACTCAAATAATAATCATATGTCATTATCCCTATTTCCGACTTAAGCCGCCAAAATTAATAATGAAAGGTCGTATCCTACCAAAGGGTCCCAACCGAAAATAATTTTAAATTATATATCGCCAGCCCTTGGAACATTTACTATAGCTTTACAGATTCTTTAAGCGTATAATTAATAAGATTTAAGGATTAAGTAAAACCGGCTTTATGCGCAAAAGAGAGCCATTTCTCCGAGTAGATTAACCTAAAGTATAGTTTTAAAGGGACACACAGGGAAGTTACATTTGCATGAAATAGTAGTTTAGAAATAGAGTTAAAGTTTTAGCGTTAGAGCATATGTACTGAGTAGAAATACCTTTCTCGCGTTAGACACATAGTCTAACGCAGTCAATTGTGAACTGAAATTGAGCTAATACAGGGTCCACATAACACGAACCGGAGTATTGTAGCTAAACGATTAGATTTTTACAAATTGTAAGTTTTGGGTTTGTTAAAGGACTACTAGAGCTACAATTTAAAAATATTTTTACAAGATACAGAGTGTCCCAAATAAATAAAAAATATCAAAGTTGTATTTTTTTGGTATTTTATATTTTTAAATTGTAGCTCTAATAGTCCTTCAAGGGACCCAAAACTTACAATTTGTAAAAATCTAATCGTTTAGCTACAATACTCCGTGTCGTATGTGGGGAATAACCCTGTATAATCTTCTGAAAATGATTTGTCATCACGAGAAAAATATATATGTTTTGTTCTTATTTACTTGCGTAATACCTACATTGACGAATTAGTAAAGAAACTCTAGGTAGTACTAAGGTCTATGGAACATGCATTGGATAAAAAAGAGGGATAAAGTGGAAGACAAAAGATAAGGTAACATAATTGTCAGCGTTGGATTGGGTATGATTTCACGTACTACAAAAATAGCATTAGAGTAGTGGTGGATTTTTTTTAATAAAATAAAATTGATTTGCAGCCGTTGAAGAAGAATTTGAAATTGAAAAGTTTCAAATCCGGTTCAAATCCCATTAGGTTTATTTTATTTTTGTGTTTTATTTTTTATTTTATTTTATTTCTTGTTCGTGTCTGTTTTTATTGACAAATATTTGACATTTCATTGATCATTTCAAACTCATCGCAGTGTTGTTTTAGTATGTAAAATGAAAATGGTGTGTGGTGTGACCTTAACTGTATATTTGTAAGTTACGACGACTTTTTTATTATCAATTATATATTTATTTGGGTTCTGTCCTGCTAGATCTGATGATGCTCGTATGAGCGAAACACGTGTCACAATTTGACATTTTGAAAATAAATGTTGAGACCGAGACTTTGAGTCTTTTTGGTTTGTCTTTTGTATCTATAAACCAGGCCAAGAATTTGAAGATGAATTTGCAGTTTGACAATTCAATAGTCCAAAAATAGTCTTCTTTTTGGTGTGTTCATGTAATAATATTTTTAAGATTTTGTACCATCATATTACTTACTTACTGACATTACTCGCTTTGATAGGCATCAGAATCGTATCAGGCATCGTATTTGATAGGCATCGCATTTGATAGGCATCGCATTTGATAGGCATCGCATTTGATAGGCATCAGAAGATGGTTACACAGGGCGTTTTCTTTTATGATCTTTTCTGTGACTAAAAATCCTGATACGTGATGTTATCTGTCTTCTACACACCGGACATTTAAAAATATCATTACTTTGTTGCCTCTTTACTTTTTGGTTGCCGTTGTTAACTGAGTTTACAATTTTTGCGCTCTATTATACACCATTGCGCTCTATTATGCGCTGCTTCTTCCCACTGATTCTGCAAAAAGGAAATAAGCTTTTAAGTTTTTTGTGGAAAATATCTTAGTACTTTTTGAGTTGTCCCCCCGGTTTCCTCTTGCCGTCTAGAAGCTCACTGTAAAGAAGAGGTTTTTGGTAGGCGGTTTTCAATTGTAGAGATTATAATTGCTGGATACCCTGCAAGTTTCATTTTTGTTCTCAAGTCATGATTGTAGAAAATCCTGCCTTCTAATTTCCAGAATGCTCTTGAGGCGCTGCTAATTCTGTGCTGAATTTCAGAGTCGATATTGACCTTTTTCGAAATCTAACTGCCAAGGTAATTGAATTCCGCTACAAATTCCAATAGTTTTATCCGATTTTTATAGCTTTGTTTTAACTTTCCGGGGCACATGATTCTAGTTTTATCGATATTAAACTACGCGTAGCCACTAAGGAAGAAGATGAGGTTACAACATTAGAAAAGAAGCTTGCTATGAATATAAAGAAGACGCAATTTAAGCAAAGTTTAAGCAAATGAGTTTTGCCGACATATATTAACAAAATGAATTACAGCAATGATCGTTGTTTGTGTGAATGTGGTCGGAAATATGAAACAAGTGTCGTACTAAACAATGTCTTTTTCTGGAGAAGAAAAAAACAATTTCGACTAAAACCTTCTGGTCAAAGGCTGTGTCTAGGCATTTATGATCAAAGGTTTTAGAAATAGAAATCGCGCGAGGCAGTGACAAAAGATATTATGGAGAAAACGGGTGCTAGGCGACCGGCAGAAGTGTTTTATCTCATTTTAAATGTCGGATGTGGAAAAAAGGCCAGAAAAAGATTCTCTATTCTTAAATTAATCCGCTTTCGGCCTTAGAAGTCGGTATTTATTATCGGATTAGGGTTTTAAAAGTATTAAGGGAGACTTCTTTGGCCGCTTTTATGGTGCCTTAAGCCAAACGATATAAGACGGCGAAGATTTGTATAGATTTGCCTTAATGATGCAGAACGATTTGTAAAATATTAAGCAGACCTTCAAAATATTTTGTAAAATATTTAGAAAGTTATAGAAACGATCATTCTGAACGTAAATTTTATCATTACCATAGGATTTTTTGAAACGTTTTAATAAGTATGTAATCTAAAGTTATTCTACTGAAGTTTTTTTTTTTAAATTTTAATTTGGAACATTCATTAACATATTTCTTTATGTTCAAAACATTCAGTTTTAAGACACTCTTTATACGGGGCAACGGCCCAGTTATGTCGAAACACCGGTTCCCATAGAACGCCGAAGTTAAGCGACGTAAGGCGATACTAGTGGATGGACGGGTGACCGGTTCGAAACTATGTATCGTGCTGTTGTCCAAAAAAAGCAAAAGTGTAAAATCTATTGACACACACTGCTCATTCACGCCGGTTCGAGGCCGGATGAGATCGGATATCTCGTGAGTAAGAGTCGATTTAGACACTTGCCAAGTCGGTAGGCCATTGACTATGATATGGCTGAGGACCGCTGTTCGGATTCCGCGTAAACAAAGTATGCCCCGTCCAGATTAGCCCTGGCAGCAAAAAGGAGACGTTAACTTCAAATCTTTACTGTACTTTTCTTTATACGGACAAGAGATAACAGGTGTTAGGTAATAGCTTTGAGACTACGGTTCGAGACGCATTGATGTTATTTTTTTGGTTTGTAAGTTTTGCTCATTGTGACAAAAATTTAATTAAAGGTAAAGTAAATGTTTTCTCTGCCTACTGTTAACTAAAGCATATATTTTATTTTCCCGTTGAAATAATTCTGTGCTAAAGCTTTTCCTTTTTTATTTGATTTTACAAAGGTATTATATAGCATGGATATGTATTTAATGGATTCGATTTATGTTGTGAATAATTTCTAGTTTAAAATTAAATCTAAATCCAATCGTTTATTGTCCATTGGTGCCGATATTTTTGGTTCGGTATGACTTAGTGTTTCCAAACGTACCTGTAGTAACCAATACAACGTAGGTTCCTTTATTTTATTTAAATTGTTTGTTATTTCCTGGGTTTTTATACTGCAAGTTGAATCCCTTGATTCTCATCAAGTTTCTTATTTGTAATGTACCCTAAACATGATCTATACCAATAGATCCCAATATAGCCTCCGTAAATATGAAATATTGGTAACATAATTATAAATAAATAAGTAATATAAACTAGAATCAATATAAATTATTATTAATACTTAATGCTAACTAATAATAATTGCAATGAATACTAAGAACATGTCTCATAATTATGTACTATTATTATTATGTACTTAATATCATTAATAACTGTATTCTTCTGTTGCAGGCTATTCATGAATTCTCTGGAGTACGCTTACCTCTTCAGCCTTATTCTGGGAGCCATGCTGTTTTCATGTATTCAACTGCTTCCGACGGCAATGTCACCCTTCAGCTCAAAGAACCCGACGATCTTGACAGGTACCATAGTATATGTTACTATTAAATTATTATTATGAGTAGAATTTTGATTTGCAATTAATATTCATGCCAGAGATTGCTTTACTATTATTTTACAACTCTATGTATATTTTTTCTACATAGAAGGATGTTATTAATAAGTGATAATCATTTAAGTGATTATCGCTTGGTGGCCATATTGTAATTGTCATCTTTTGAAATATTAATTCCGAAGGCATTTCTGTCAGTTCCACAAAATATCCCGTCAATTCTTATTACAAAATGGCAAAAGAAAAATTTGGTAAAATTTTGTTGCCTCAACTCGACGATGTTATTAAAAATGTGAAGTCAAGGAATACCGAGTGTTCAGACAAATATGTATGGACGCAGTTTACTGAGTTTTGCCTTGCACGAAGTTTCAAAATTGAGAAAACGACAACAGACGAGGATTTGTTTAAAAGACGGGGCATATAATATGCGAAAATCCGATGGAAGCGATTATAAAGAAGATGTGGTCAAGCTTTTATGGAACAAAACGGCCAAAATGCTCCAGGAACTATATTTTGAAAAATATAAGCGCCGCTTAGATCCATTCAATGACATGGTTTTTCATAGCGCCCGTTTTGCCCGAAACGCAAAATCGAAAAGAGTTGCAGGCATTACCTGATGCACGAAATGAGAGTTTCACAGCTTTAACGAGGCAGGAAATAGAAAAAAATGGCCTTAAGTTTGGATAAAAGTACCCCAGGGGCGCTATTCTGTAAAATCGTCGGTATCGGTAAGTTACGACAGCTCTCGATACGTATTGTATATAGTAAAAATGTGTTGTTGTTGTCATAGTTACCGATCGGTCCTATGGCAGATATCGCAAATTTATACTGACGAAAATCGGTATCTCTACCATGCCCTTGTCAACCTCACCGTAGAGATACCGAGAGTCGTCGGTACAAATTAGCGATATCTGTCATAGGGCCGATCGGTAACTATGACAACAACAATTAACACATATTTACTATATGCAAATACGTACCGATAGCTATCGGTAACTCACCGATACCGACGATTGTACAGAATTGTTGTTGTCATAGTTACCGATCGGTCCTATGGCAGATATCGCAAATTTGTATCGACGAAAATCGGTATCTCTACCGTGAGGTTGACAAGGGCACGGTAGAGATACCGATTTGGTCGGTACAAATTTGCGATATCTGCCATAGGACCGATCGGTAACTATGAAAACAACAATTAACACATTTTTACTATATACAAATACGTATCGAGAGCTGTCGTAACTTACCGATACCGACGATTTTACAGAATAGCGCCCCAGATGGGCTTCAACGGAAATTTTTCCACATAGCTGCATCCGAACTAGCATTGAGAGGAAATGAAGCGGTTTTTTTGGTATTGGAATATTTTACGGAGAAAAAATTATAATAACGGGGCTAGTACCGATCGTCTGGAATACAATCCAATATTTGCTAAAACGGCGCAAGGAGGAGCAAGTCGAACATGCGAAAGTAAGTGGCTTGTAAAAAATCTTGTGCATTCGGATTTATGTCCAGTACGATTATATTTTAAGCTAATGTTCAAAAGAGGCGCAAACATTAAAACTAATCGATTATTTTTGACGGTCAATCAGAAATGCAAACAGAATGATAACTCCCCATAGTTCAAGAATTTCCAGCAGGTATTAACATTATAAGAAACTGGACAAAAATGGGAGCAATCAACATCGGCCTATAGATACTAAAAATAAACAAATCACGAATCACTCTAACAGAGCTTCAATAGTAATTTCTCTTAACAGTTCAGGCGCTAATCTCCAGGAAGTCATCAAAATAACGGGCCATAGTTCTATAAATTCTGTTACTCCCTATCTTCAGCTCAGCGAACAGCATCATTATGAAGATTTTGTCCCAAATGAGACCTGAAAATACACCGTCATCTACTTCTAATGCTGAAGCCAAAATCAAACACCTCCAAACTATGGTAATAATTCATCCAATGGTTCAAGTTTTCACTATAACAATTGTAGTTTTATTATTAATAATTATTATTATAATAAGAATGTTTAAGATGAGAAGGATATATGTATTTTATTTCGTTGTATAATATTTTGAATACAACTCAATGTTTCGGGATTACCTAATACTTTTGCCTGACACTCAATGCGATACCGGCAACACTACGACTCCGAAGGAGGACGCATTTCGTGTCAGGTGAAAGTATTATTCGGTAATCCCGAAACATGTTGGGGTATTACATTCGATAATATTATTAGTTAATAACTCTAAATAGTTTTGTTTTCATTTCTAACTTTTTTTTCCAGAAATAGTTTGGCAGCGATGTTGGCTAGGTTACAAGAGGATGCTTCATTTTCTATCTATACCCAAGATGCAGATATTCTCTCTGATGGTAGTATAGACGTTCTTTTAGGTACTGGTTCTTCAACAGGAAATTCTGGTGAGTAGTTGTTTTGAGTTATTATTTATCGTTTTAGTTAATGTCCTAAACGAATAAAAATATTCAATTTATTAAAATCTGGCATTGTTGAAATCTAAAATGAACATAATAATATTTTTCAGATAAGAAAAATAAAGAGTATAGAGTATACAAGGTGTATCAAGCTGAGCTTGTTTTGAAGTTTCTAGAGAGCTCAAATATCTAAATTGGAGCTTTTTGTGCTTATCATGCTCTGTCAAAGATCAAGTCATTCTATCTTGTCTGTCAAAGAAATGTTGTATGACCCAAGTATTTTTGCTTTATTAAAGGAAAGGCTGTTTAATTCGCTTTTGTTTTTAATATATCTTTCTATATCTATAGTAGCCCGTTTTTAAGTTTAGAAGATTTAGTTTCAAATCATATTTGAGTTTTTGATTTTATCTAATTATTTGTGTCATTAAATGTCAACTAATGTCTGACAGTATTTCCTTCTGTCAGAAAATTAATTAAATTATTTTTGTTTGATTTAAATTTGTTTGTACTTTTGTTGTATTTTTATTGATGAATAAAATTTTGTAAATTTTTGCAAAAAAACCTCATAATCGTGTTTCTGGGGTTGAAATATACTACCACTAAAAATATTTGCACTTATTTATGGCTCATGCTGTATAGAGTGATATCAAAATTCATGAAATTTTACAAAGAATTATATTATATTAAGTATATAACAAAAAATGGGGGATTCATCTAAAATAAGTGGCTGTTAACTTCCGATACTTTAGGAAATGCCACCGTATGGAAATTATCTTTAATTGAGACATCTGACTCTGAAATAATAATATGCAAAAAAGATCTGATCTAGATATTTTAATACTCTAGGAACATCTAATGCAAGCTCACTTTGTATTCTGAAACGCATTTTTAAGACTTTTAGTAAAATATTTCGGCCTTCACTTAAAAAGTGCGTTGGGTATATTTAAATTTTCTCTATGGAATAATATCCACTAATATTAATTAGTAACCGTATTTTTTAATTATACCACTTTATACTAGTCGTTGCTCGGTAATCTGATATTATTTTAGCGCTGCAGTCATCTCAATTTCCTACTCTGTCTGTAATACTAACTACTACTCTCGTAGAGCTAGCGAAATATTTTATCATGCAAATTAGAATTTCAATTGAAATTTGTAATTCCGCAATAGTTAGTTAAAAGCTAATGCACGAGCTTTCCCTTATGCGCCGCATCCAAAGTGATACCGTATAAATTATGCTTTATCATAATACAACAACAAACATACAAAATGATGTGGCGTTTCCTGTTTAAAATCAATTGGTTTGGTTGAATATGGCAATATTTATGTAAAACAATAAATGTAACAATTAAGATTTTTAAAACTGAATAATTTGGTACTCTCATATGAATAGTAAGTAGCTATTTACATTTTCAATTTTCACTAGTAATACTACAAGAGATTAAATTATTTTTGTTATGTACCTATTATAAAAAAAATCGGGATTTAATTTAAAATATTATTTTGGTTTGGTTTGGGTTGGAATACATAAAGAACATAAAGAAAATTATACCAAATTGTGTTTAAAATAATTTTAGAAGTACTTTTTTTTTATTTTGACAATGGCTACTTTTTTCCTTTGAATAGACATCATAGTACAACAAGATCCGGGTGCAGGATTATTACGCTCAACTTATTTTTAACCAAAACCCACTTTTTACGAATATTTATGAATAGGAGAATACACTTTTATTAGGGTGTTTATAATAAAGTTGCCGTAAATAGAGGTTGCCGCGGTTTAAAAATTTTCCTATGTTCCCGGCAACAGTGCGTCGGGCGTCTGTACCTCCTATAATCAAAAACTTAGGAATTTTTTATAAATGTCAACTTAAAGTATGTGTTAGGATTTTTTTCAGAAAAATATTTTAACTTCTATAGGGTGGCTCAAAAAAGTGTGAGTGGATCAGAATATTCTTTAAATGGAACACCCTGTATATTATTCCTTTGTTATGGCGCATTCTCACGACTCGTGTACTTGACAAACATTTGTAATTAGTATACAGGGTATACATGGTAGGTCGGGCATCTACTGATCTACGCCGAATTATCGCCAAACCCTGTTTACCATTAAAAATAACTTGCCAAGTAGACGAGTCGTGAGAATGCGCCTTTCGCTGGAGAAGTAAAAATTGTTTCGCAAATATTTGCGTTTTTATTACATATTATGACTCTTTCCATTTTGAAATCCTTTAAATATAAAAAAGGTTCATTTCTTAATTCTCCATCTAACAGAGGAAAAATATACAGGGTGATCCATCTAAAAAAATATTCCAATCCAGTCACACTTTTTTCAGCCACTATGTAGAAGTTCTATGCGAAGAAGAAAATATTTTCCTGAAATACATCTTAACACATACTTTAGGTTGGCACATACAAAATTCCTAAGTTTTTTATTATAGGAGCTACAGATCGCCGGTACCCTAGTAGTAGGAAAAACTTTGACACGTGGCAACCCCTATTTGCGACAACTTTTTTTAGGCACCTTTATAACATTATGCACAAAATAAAAATAGCTTTAATTTGACATATAAATGACCAAAAAAAATTATGAGCATAATGTCGTCTCCAAAATCAGTTATTATTATAAATTCAACATAGTTGCCGCAACTTTTTCATAGGCACCCTGTTAAAAGTGCATTCTCCTATTTATAAATATACGTCAAAATTAGGTTTTGATTAAAAATACAATGAGTGTAATAATCCTGCAGCCGAATCTTAGACTATCAGTAAGACATTGAAAGTTTAGTTGACTTTGTAAGTAAGTTTCATGGTAACGTAAGTAAAATCTTAACTTAGGTTTAAAAGCTGTCAGTTTTGTAGTACAAGTTTTGTTGGGCCACGTGAGCAAAATTATTTGCTTAGGCAAAAAGAGAAAAGAAAGTATTTCTCAGGAGATTTAGCAGTTAAAATAGGCGAACACTAAGAAATTCAAGTATTTAGAAGCATTTCACAATCTTTTCTAAATAAATTTTAAGATTTTTGACAGAGCAGGTATACCCGTGAAGGAACTAGCACTTATTCTTGAAGATTATGGCTTTAATATGTACAGAGAGAACTCAGAAGATTACAGTAGTCTAAGAGCTAGCAACGTTTTCGAGAAAGTATTTTAAGACGTCTGGCTCTTTGGTATATCTGTTACTATGCTCTCTGGAACAGCATGCGGCCCGTCTGGCTGCCGATACCCGTGGCGTTCACTACTGCGCATCGGAAGAAGATCCTATATTTTTTATTAATTTAGTCCTATAAATTCTAGTATTGGAGACATGTTCAATTTATATTCAATACTAGAATTTAAAGGACTAATAAAAATATAGGATCTTCTTTCAATGCGCAGTAGGGAACGCAACGTTTACCGGCAGCCAGACGGGCCGCCTGCTGTTCTAGAGAGCATAGTAAAAGATATATCAAAGAGCCAGACGTCTTAAAATACTTGTTTTTCCGACGTTGCTAGCTCTCGTACTACAAGGCGGTATGAAACTTTTATGGAATTGAACTGCCAGGGCACTTGCAAGGACCTTTTTGTAAAAGGTGCAAAAGAACGGCTTCAGTGACGGCTATGTAATGAAGATCGCTGTCATTTTATATATAAAATAATATGGGGAATGTCATCGATGTTCATTTCCAAGCCAGCTGTATAGAATGAAAAACCATATGTCAACTTTTGGCATTCGCGCTTAAAAGAATCATAGTTTAAATTTCAATCTAGAGTGCCATGGCTATTTTAAAAATACTAACATTTAATCAAGGATCCTTGGAGAAATAACTTTACTCTTGTGATGTTTTTGGTTTGTTTTGTCAAAGCCCGTTAAAGGATGCCCAAATCGTATTTTAATCATAACTCAATTTTTTTTCAAAGAAACAAGGGTGGCTCATTAGCATATTTAGAAAAAACATTAATTTACGAATAATTGGGTACCACACACTTGGTATTTTGAGTCAAATTGTAGTTATGAACGTATGGTTTATTTGAAATTGAAACTTGAAATTTTCGCATTTTTGATATATGTGTAATTTTCTATCGAATAAAGTAAGAAAATAAGTTAATAAATAAAAAACAAGAAGTGACCAAAAACAACTGAATGCCAATCAATCCTAATTTATGTCATATACTAACATACCAAATCGGGAAAATGGGGAAACACCAGAACATCTTATCACTGAGTGCACCGAGACGACGACCATTCGTGCTATGAACCTTGGTACGTCTGATATGGAGGATGGAGAGCTCTCTCTGTGGAGCCGTCTCAGAAAGGATATTTTAATATTTATTTAGATTTATAACTCAAGAAAGGGGAACACACAATAGATCTATAAGGTCGCGGTAATTAACTCCCCTCCTAAACATTCTACATTCTACATTCTACAACATACCACATCTCGATTTTTACCTGAAAAAAAAAACAAAAAAGTTATAGGTGTGAGCCACTTTGAGACGCACCCGGTATACGGATAGATTGGAATTATTATAAATCAATATGCACTATATAAACAACAAACAAAATATTGAATTACTTATTAGTAAATTATTATCGGGCATATAAAACAGATTAACTGCACTATTTGAGTTTGCTTTAAAATCTTTCTAGAGCACCAATATTATTTTTGAGCTTCCTCTGCGTTCGTTTCAATTCAAAACCAGCAGAATGGAGCCCTGGTCTCTAGAACCCAACAAAATATTTTGTCATGCAAATTAGAGACCGCTTTCAAAACGGTAACCGAAACCCAAGTTCAGTTGTGTAAGAGCTTCACGCGTGGCTAGAGCGGAACGAAGAGCTATTTCTGTCTCTCTTCATTTTGTCATCGATTTAAATGTCTCTTTCATGAGAAACAATCACATTTATAAAGTTCCTAAGCAGGCTTATTTTATGAAATGACTCTATATACGTAAGAGAAATGACAATAAGGATGTTGGTGGTAACGATTGGGGCGTACTAAGCTTTCTTCTACAA